CTAAATACATAGGGCAAAAGACTTACAATCCAAAAACATTTTTTTTCTTTTATTCACTTCATCATTACCCTAGATTCTAGGCAAAAATCTCAAATTAAGTTGTTCTGTAAATATAGCAACAAATCCTATTATACTCCACTTACCAAATGATGCAGCCTTTTTTGAGTGACAGATTGATAGGCAAAACATTTGCTACTTGGTGTTTTATGAACCTCTGCTAAAAGATAAGCTGGAAATAGACATTTGAATAAATTGACTATTAAAATCTGTTTTAAGTTGAGAAATCTAAATTTCTTGGTTTATTTCCATCTTGTGACAGCTGAATTGGATTCTGATGAAATTTAAGGTGACACAATTATTCATAGGCCATCTTGTGAGAAGTCACAGTCACTTGTCAGTTTATGTCAAGTTATCATAAGTCACATACGCTAGTATAGTAAAAATCCTAAAAGAAATATAGCTTTGATTTTTTCCACCTGTTTCCTCTATTCAACAGTTGTATAAAGTCTGATAGGTCATTTGCTTACTCTCTACATAAATAAAATGAAAATGCAGTCTGTGAAAATTTCTCAAAGTCTTTGCTGTTTTCCTATCTTCAGTAAAGTTCAGTTACATTTGTGTTCAGTTAAATGTTTAGAAATAATTCAATTCACTTAAAAAGAGAGGATGATACCAAGTGACAGTTTATGTTGTTTGAAAGCCACATATGATAAAAATGGAAAAGGTAAATCAACTTGATTACTGACAAAAATAATTGTATGAGGTGAATATTTAAGCTGCTTCATGTACCCTTTAGTTATGCTTGAAATTTACCAAAGTGCTTCAGTCTGCATGGTGCCAACTGTTACCCCCTAAGAGACCATGTTAAACATGGTACTCTCTTATGTCTTATTGGACATGTATTACTTTAACAAAGTGATTACAGTTAAATGAAGTAATAAACATGGGTATTGAATCCCACTGAACTAATTCTAAAAACAAGAGGCACCAGGATTGCCCTCATCAGACTGTAAGAACAAGAAGTAATTGACCAATATAATACTCTGATCTTGAACTTACAGCCTCCATATCTGTTTTGAAAATAACAATTGTTTAAACCGCACAGTCTATCATATTTTGCTGTTGTAACCTATGCTAAAACACCAAGGTCAATGGGAAATTAAAGAAATTATATACGAAGAAGAAATTGTCTTCACATAAATCACTCACATGAACCTAGGGCTTTGAACTACGTTAGTGAATGGCTGGAGTGAAGGCTGGAAAGTCCATGGCGATCACACATGGCTTATCACACCCAGCATATTTACATTTACAAACAAAAGACCTCAAAGGCCAAATAACATTAGTTGCACTGAATGGGAGACCAGAGCTTCACCTCCCACACTGATCCAGTTGGTTTTCTAAGCACTCTGGAAGCACTACTGATGTGGATCTGAAAAAGAAGCTCTTCAACTTTATAATGGATTCCAAGACCAATGAAAGCATTCAATTTTTTATGGGTTTAAATAAATGTAGTACTCAGACTGGGTCATGGGGAGCAAGAGATATTTTTTAAATGCTATTTCATCCATTTTACGTGGATGGCAAAACACAAAATATTCCACCTTTTATACATTATTCTGTGTAAGTAAAATTATCCTCTTCCTTGCTCCTACTGACATTGCATTTGTTACCTTATGAGTCATTTTGGACTGTGTACTTGGACAAAGTTAATATATATTTTTACGCACAATGAGAAGCGAATTTTCCATTTGTGTGGCATTCCAATCATTCTGAAGAACATCCTGCCAATAACAGTTATTTGTACAGCCAATATTAAATCAGACACATTTTTTTAAAAAAGATAATCAACTGCCTCCAACCTCACTAGATCATCTAAGAATTTGCTACTCAAATGTGCTCCTGGACCTGCAGCATCAACTTTATCAAAACACAGAAGTTCAGGGGTTAGGTATTTAACACAGCCTACATCATATTTGAAATACCATATTCCAGTCCTAGTTCCCTTGCTTTTGATCCCACTATGGGAGATGCCAGATGATGGTCTAAATACTGTCACCTGCCACCCACATGACAGATACAGATTCAGTTCAGGATTCTGGTTTGGGCCTGACTCAGTCGTAATAATACAGGCATTTGAAGAGTGAACCAGTTAATACAGGATGTCTGTCTGTTCCCTCAGTATGTCTGCGTTACAAATAAGTATTTTAGCTTTAAAAGCAGATTTTCAGGCCCCATCTAAGACCTACCAAAATCCTTGTTTTCATTAACTGCCTAGGAAATTCATGTTTACCTTGAACTTCAGCATTAGTGCTAAGGAATTTTTGGCTGCCACCAGAATATTTCTTTCACAGAAATGCATAAAGCTAAAGTTTTATGTTTTTTGTTTTTTATGTTTTCATGTTTGAAAAATCAGACACCTCAGAAGACCAGAGGGGAGTATGCTCAAATCCCTCAGTCTGACATGTGATAAAATTCATTGCTTGGCATGGAAGCAGACACCCAACGGAGCAATTTTGGATCTAATTTTTGTTTTTTGGCAAGGAAAAAATCTGTAAATTCTTTTCTTATTTATTTGTTTGTTTTTAATACTAATTTTCTTTTTTAAATTGTTTACATAACTGAGAGGGATGCATGCTCATATGGGACTCTGATTATGGGGTTAGGAATAAAAAAATAAAATAAATCTTAAACAAACAAACAAACAAATAAATAAATAAGGTATAAGCCACTATCCTGGTATAGTGGTATAGTTAACACAAATGTGGCATTAACCAAGCCCAGAATATCTTCAGCTAATAGCTTCTTTTCACCCATTAGTATAACATTGGCTAAGGTACAAGACAACCTAGACAGTTTCCAACAGATGGGAGAAAAAAAAATATGTATTGCTTTTTAATAGCAATAACCGTGTCCATTTTATAGGGCTTGGGAATATCAGTTGTAAAATATGTATAGTTGAAAAAGAATAGCATTCAAAATAAACCTGCGTTGCTATCATAACCGCATTCCTGACTCCACTCAGCATCCAGCTAGGGAAGCTCAGAGACAATTTTGATGTCAAAATACAACCTTAGGGGAACTACACATGCTCAGCTATTCATACAATTTCCTGATGAAACAGGAAAATGGAGCTAACAAAGATCACTTGGCTCTGTGTTCAGGTAGAAAATTCATACCTCTCCTGGTCATCCAGAATTGATTTGAATAAAATTCAAAAAGTGTACTTGACTTACAATAACATATCTGGATCCAATATTTGGCATAAAATAATTGGCTTAATCTTAAAGATGTGTTGTATAATTACACAAATCAATAATTGTAAGAATTTAATATCTGAGACTCAGCTAGAGGTACTTGTTAAAAGCACAAATTTTCCTTCTATAAATTTCCAGAGAATTTCATGTACTGGATCAAAGGACCATGGATCTTGTTAAAACTAGAACTGTAGTTGCTTTTCATTACTGCGCTCTATAAGTTATTTGTGAAAAGTACTAAGTCGGTAAATGCAGTCATAGGCTGTATTTCAAGGCATTGAAATACAATGACAAATCAACAATTGTTATTGTTTTATTCTAAGTTTATACCACCTATCTGTACTCCTTGACATTAATATCAAATAATCTGAAAATATGTAAACATGAAGTTCAAGGCTATCAAGGCAGACTAGTCAGAGTGACTATCCCTATTCTCAGGTGGCCAAAGCCAATGGGTACGTGTAGGAATGGCTAGACAGTTAGAAGCAGGCTGCAGTGCTCGTAAGTACCTGCAGAAGGTGCTTCTCATTCCAGTGTGAGACAGTCAGCTGTCACAGGAGAATTGTGAGTTGGAGATTTCCATTTGTATTCTTGCAGAGTTAACAGTGCACTGACTGAGTGGTAATGGTGTTTTCACATCTCTAATTGGAGTCCAATGAGCAAAGGAACTATTCACTATTCATCCCTAAATTGCCAATGTTTTGGGCACTATTCTTTCATGACAACAGGATTAGGATTTAGTAAATAATAGTTGAAGTATTTCAGTAGGGAAGATTTAGAAAAAACAACTATAGTTCCACAAAAATCTATTAAAATGCCACTAGTTTATTATTTTTGTGATTTTGAAACAATTTTATATTTGAAGAATTAACGATTCTTAACATTAGTAACTTTGACTTGAACTCAGCAGCATCTCATTCTCACAATAATACCAAGAGGGCAATGCTCTTTTTAATCTCATGTTATTTTAGTGATAAAGGAAAATCATGGACAGTAAATAAAAGTTGTTTCTAAAAATTACAATTCCAATAAAATAATGAGCTCATATCCATTCAAACTCTGGCACCTGGGTTTTCAGACATTTGGCCAAGAACTGCAAAGCATATTCTCATCTGTATGTCCCTATAATCTCTGGTTTGATTCTCAACATCCTAAAATGAACATCTTGAATGTTACCAATAAACAATCCTAGAGAAATTCATTAGTTTTCTAAAAATGGGAAGAATTTTAATTTCAGAAAATAAATTGTAGTTTGCACATGATAAAAGTACAAGAGTTGATATTGGGGTCAGGAGGCTAGGGACGCATCTTGTGCAGCAGTTGGAACATCCCTTGGGATGTGTGGACCCCACATCGTAGCTCCAAGGTTTGAGTGCGGGCTCCGTTCCCCAGTCCAGCGTTCCGTTAATGCATATTCTGGATGGCCCCAAATGAGGGCTCAAATGGTCAGATCCTGGACTCCCCTGGGGCAGTTCCAGGCAAGTATCCAGATCCTGGCTTAGGGCTAACCATTGTTGGCCACTGTGAACATTTAGTGAGTGAAGCAGCAAGCAGGAGCTCTGCCTCTTCACCCCTTCATCCTGTCTTCTTGGTGTCTCTGACGCTCTCCTTTAAGTAAATAAAATGTTGTTTTTTGTAAAGGAAGAAATATTTCAAATTATGATTTTGTTGCTGATTTCCTGCTATTTGATTTGGCTTCTCTACATTCTACTTAACACACACAAGCACAGGCACAGTACTTGCCTTCGAGAGTAGATGATTCTGGAGTGGGTCTTGAAACTTGCTCTGTCGGTGATGGAGGGGGTATGGCTGGGCTTTGTCCTGTAAAAAAAAAGGAAGGAGTAGATGTTGAAAAAAAGTATTCACCAATTTAAGTATAATTTTTTTTAAAAGTATAAGCAAATTAAATAGCTGGAACTGCCCTGTACATGCATAATTCATAATTCTGAGTACATATTCACACCATTATACAATAAGAAAACTGCTCTTAGGTAAGATCTTTAAGAGGATATTTTCAGAGATTCAGTTATCCTCAGAGCTATTTTTGAATATATTATTCACATAAAAATATATGCAAAGCTAAATATGTCTATTGGACTTCATTAGTGGAAAAGCTACACATGATCAAATAAATCAATTTATTTTGAGTATGTGCTCCCTAATTATGGAAACTAAATTGCAGAGGTTAAGAGGAGTCCTAATTCAGAGAAAAATCTTTTTTATTGCATATGACAAAACATTCTTAAATGACATAATGGCACATTAAGAGAAGTTTGAAATTCATAGTCATTTTGATACTAAACAGGTTTATTTTTTTCCTGCAAAACAAAAGACTTACAGTTAGGCAAATAATGAGCCAATGGAAAAACATATTTAGTTTTATATAACCTCTAAAGGTCTCCTCAAGTCTCTGGACTTATTATGAGATGGAAAAACAACAACAACAACACAAAACCAACGCAAAAAACAGTGTGGTCACTTTCAAGTACTTTCTGAACTCAAGTGATTATTTTTAAGTAGCCAATGCTATTTCGGCCAGACCTCGAACTATCATGTGATCCTATATGAAATGCTTGCAAAATGCTTTATCATTATTTCTCATTCAATGGACTCTGTCATGTGTTTTTTTATCCAGAAATCAACTTGGGATGTGTGCTTTTTGTAATGACACTGACCACTAGGGATATTCAAATGTCAACAGACCTGCCTGCTTACTAGAAACTTCCTTTTCTAATGCTCTGTGGTTTACCACACAGGACAATCAGAGTTGCACTTGCAAAATCCCAGCTTAGCCTCCTCTTGCCTTGCAGTGCGCAGTCATCACTCAACATGAAACTTTCTTTTGATACTAAACTCATATAGGTTTGTTCCTGAGCAGTGTATTCCAACATGCATGATAACAAATCATACATGTTATACATGCCAGACCATGAAGATTTTCTTCTCAGGAGCAAATATTTGAAAGACACATAACACAAATATTATGTGGAAGCAGCATTTTTGCCTAGTGAAAAAGATGTAATAAAATGACTAGATTCACAATAGTGTGATTTAACTAACACTTCATATAATGCTCGCTGTGTGCCAAGAATCATCCAAACTGTTCATGCAGAGTCACTCAATCAGCATAATATCATTAGGTTGTAGATTAAGTTCTTGATTCTGAGCTTTGAAAAATTGTGTAAACAAGGCATCACACCAATTCTTAAAAAGTGGAGTTGGATTTCCATGAGGGTGTCAGAATTGTTGGACCTAGGGCTCGGTGCAGTGGCCAAGCAGCTAAAGTCCTCGCCTTATATACACCAGGACCCTATGGGCGCTGCTTCTAACCCCGGAACCCTTCTTTCCATTCAGCTCCCTGCTTGTGGCCTGGGAAAGCAGTCAATGATGGCCCAAGGCCTTGAGATCCTGCACCCGCGTAAGAGGCCTGGAAGAGGCTCTGGGCTCCTGGCTTCGGTTTGGCGCAGCTCTGATCATAGTGGCCACTTGGGCAGTGAATCTATGGATGGAAGAGCTTCCTGTCTGTCTCTACCTCTCTCTATATATATATCTGACTTTACAATAAAAAATTAAATAAATCTTAAAAAAGAAAGAATTGCTATACCTGAAGATCCTCTCAGACTGCCCCAAAGTGGTTAAAACTTAGTCTTCTTTAAGATATACATAACTGCACGGAGCTGGCATGATGGCTTCATTGCCTAATCCTCCACCTGCAGGCACTGGCATCTTATGTGGGCTCCTTTGTTATTGGCTGCTCCACTTCCTATCAAGTTCCCTGTTTGCAACCTGGGAAAGCAGTAAAGAATAACACACCATCTCGAGACCCTGCACCCATGTGGATGATCTGGAAGAAGCTTCGGGCTCCTGGTTTAGGATCAGCTCAGCTCTGGTGGGTGTGACCATTTGGGGCATGAACCATTGAATGTGAAAGTTTTCTCTCTGTGTTTTTTCTTCTCCCTGTTAATCTGCCTTTCTAATAAAAAAAAAAATATGTTTTTAAAAGACACTCATAGCTGCAGATAGGGAAGATGGAACACTGGATGATCTTTTTGTTCCTTAAAATCTGCTCCTGAAAAAAAATATTTCTAAAGTATGATTGTATTTTTCAGCTTTTAAATTTTAGGGAAGTTTACATTTAAGGAGTCACTCAAGTGACCAAAGTTTAAAGTATGCTGAGATTCCAAAATGTCTAGAGAAAGCAGAATTTGAGGCTAAAGTCATTTTGGCATAAAAAAATTGAAATCCATTCATACTCTAATCATAACACATATTTTCCATCAACATTTTGACAACCCTTTATATAAATGGTCATGAATAGAAATCAATTGTTTCTTAATACTAAGATTTTCAAAAGTACATTGCAGAATGGTGCTTATTAAATTGAAGCTTCTTTCTACTTTGGCATATAGTTCTGTGAGCAGTAATAGATGTGTAATCATGGTCCTTTACAGACTTGATGAGTTCTTCATGAATTTAGCATAAAATATAGAATTTCTTTCCCTGGGCAGTAACACATAATTTTCTCTACAGAATATTCTTGGGTTTACCTGGGGGAACTAAAAATCACTATTCTATTAACATAAAAGCATTAATATATACTGAATGGCTGTAGCTGGACAATTCCTGGAGATTAAAGGCCTGAAGAACATGTTCCAGAGAAAGAAAGGTGGAGGAAATGTAGGAATTCAAAGTGGAAGGTATGTGATGAAAATAAGACCTGAGAAAAAATATGAACTATTAAGACAAAGGGATGCTCTTGCAGCAGAAAGTACAATGCCCACTTCAAATGAGACATCTTCTACCATCATAGTTGACGGTGCATTGCTCTCTAAAATACTTGACTGCACAGTTGTGATTCAGAGGACACAATGAGGAATTAAAACCACAAGGAAAAACTAAGAGGAAACCATATGGCTGGCTGTGTGAATCAGGAAATTATTAATACAGGGTAAGTATCTGTCCAGTTAGGGACAAAACAAATCTGGCAGGTCATACTGTTCATGACACACTACTTTAACACAAGTTCTCTTTTAGATTCAAATAATGGCAACTCAACATATGGAAATAAATTTGCTGTGAGAATATATTTATTATATCATACACAAGGCTAAACATAATTAGGTTTATAAATATTATAAATATTAGGTTAATAATTATAACGTTATTATTGTCATAATCTTTTATAATGAAAGCAAGGCTGTTTAGTGCATGGATGGCATGTTTAGGAGCCAGATGGATTTAACAGGGACTTTCAGCTCCACCATTTATTACCTATGTTATCCTGAAAATCTCATGACGCATCCAAGCCTCAGTTGGGGTATTTATAAAATGAAGGTAGTTTTTAGGGATGTTATGAGAATTAACTAATAAAACATCTAATGCATGGCAGAAAGTCAAATTATTAATTTTCCCCATAATGTATTTACAATTTAAATCCCATCTAATTACACAAGAGGATTTGAAGCAGGCTTTTGAAGTAAGAAAACAAAAACAAAGATAAAATTGAACATGACAGGAACAGCAGAATTCATTTACAAGAAAACGGCTTATAGTTTTACCAGGAATATATTCCTTTGGAATACTTCGGGATTGTTACTCTCTGAAGGAAAGATTTGGTTGGTTGAAATTTACATTAGAACACTTAAGGCGCCCTTTATTTTATGAGCTATTATCTTTCTGACATTCAAATATATAGTCCGTTGGCTTTATTTTTGTTCCTTGAATGATTGAGGTTGGCTGATTTCCATAATACCTGAACTGCATATTTGTAAGTTTCTAGTATTTTATTGTTCTGAGTTTATTTCTCATACAAACCAATTTTGTTGGTTTTGGCTTAGTCAAATTCTACTGGGGATAGGATAGGATGCACATTTATCCTGATGATCTAAGTTCCTGACATTTTCGTTATTTTTCTAGAAATGATGAATGGCATTACTCGGAATCACAAGTCAAGTATGAGACTATGAGCTGAATTCGAATTGCACAAAACAAAACAAAACAAAACAAAAAAAATGGTTCACTATAGTTTGTCCAGTTTTTTTCTGAAAGAGATTCTGTTTGAAAAATACTTGTAGATCATCCTACTTTTAATGTTTGCAACAAATATTGAGGATATTCTTTTTCAATAATGTCTGGTAGTGAATTTATTTCAAGAGCCTTCATTACATTTTCCGGGAAGTATTCAGAGTTAATCACACTTTGGAAGGATTCCCAAGGTTGCAAACCCTTAATGATAGTAGATTTTGACATTGGAAAGATGTTCCAGGAAACCAGAACTAAAATTCACTGACAAAAGGATTAGAAGTTTCAGGCCTGGTGAGGCAGCCAAGTGACAAAAATCCCCGCCTTGCATACACCAGGATCCCATATTGGCACCAGTTCTAATCCCACAGGCCCAGTCTCCCATCCAACTCCCTGCTTGTGGCCTGGGAAAGCAGGCGAGGATGGCCCAGTGCTTTGGGACCCTGCACCCGCGTGGGAGACCTGGAAAGTCTCTGGGCTCCTGGCTTTGGATCCACTCAGCTCCAGCCATAGCAGCTGCTTGGAGAGTGAATCATGGGACAGATCTTCCTCTCTGTCTCTCCTTCTTTATATATATTTAATTATGCAATAAAAGAAAAACACAAGTTTCAAAATCATTATACAGTTCTATCCCAATTCACTTTCAAGGTTCATACACAGCATGTGTAAGGATATATAAAAATAGAGTGTGAAGATAACACTTCAGTAAGAAAATGAGAATCAAGATAACTAACATAGTAGTTTTGTCACACTAGAACAGGTTACCTAGTTTATTTTTGTAGCATATGAAGTAATATATA